GCAACAAACTTTAATTTATCCAATCACCTTATAGGAACTATCAAATGATTGATATCCTCAAGGCTATGCAAGAGTTAAGTAGACTCCAGTGAAAATGTTAGATTTAAAAAGATTCAAGGAAGTGATAGTCTGATATGGCATGTATTTAACTTTTGTGAAGCAGATGTTAAAATCGTGGTCAGCTTGCAATAGAATAATCCCTAGAGACTGAAGAGACTTGGTTAAAGTTGTCTTGAAACCTGATCCTCAATTACAATGGACAGCATGGTGGAAAGAGGAGGCTAAGACCATTGAACAATTAAGTAGGGCTAGAATTCTGGAAATCTCCCAAGACCAACTTCTTGGAAAGAAAAATTATGCTTATATACAAAGACAATATCTATATGATGACCACATCTTAGATTTATGCCCCATAGCACCTATGAATGTTTGGGACATATTTGGAAAAGTAGTAAAAGAAATTGAATAATTTACTAAAGTTATTCAGGGTCCAAAGGAAGCCTCCACAGATATTTTTTTGTAATGAATGACTTACTTAGCAGTAAATAGAATGATACCAGATTTAGAAGCTAAAAAAATAGTAATTGAATCTCTGCTTTTTGTTAGCTTTTGTTTTTGTTTGGTTAACTTTTGATGACTACTTCTATTTCATTAGGGATTATAGGTCTATTTAAATTGTTTATCTGTTCTTGATTCAATTTTGGTATGTGGTACCTATCCAGAAAATTGTCCATTTTTTTGAAAATGTCCAATTTTATAGAGTACGTGTTTTTTTTTTAAGTATGGCATAATAATTCTCAGAATTTCCTCTGTGTCTATTGTTATTTCCCCCTTTTCATTTCTGATTTTGTTAATTTGCATATTCTTTCTGCCTTTTGGTTAGTTTCAATAAAGGTTTGTCTATCTTGTTGATTTTCTCAAAAAAAAATTACTGATAATAAATTATAAAGAAAAATTTTTAAACCTTCAGTATATTTCTTAGTTCGGGTTACTATTGCTGTAATGGTACACCGTGACTAAAAGCAATTTGGGGTGGAAACTGTTTACTTTTCTTACCCTTTCTTACAGTTTGTCATCAAAGGTAGCTAAGGCAGGAACCCAGAGGCAGGTGCTGATGCAGAGGCCATGGAGGGGTGCTGCATACTGGCTTGCTCCTCATAGTTGCTCAGCCTGCTTTCTCACTGCACCCAATACCACAAGCCCAGGATAACTCCAAACACATTGGGCTGGGTCTTCTCACATCAATAACAAATATGACCAGGTTCTCAGTCAGCCATCATCAGAGAAGCATTCTCTTCTAGGACACGGGAACTAACACAGAGACTCACAACTGACAGTGTGCAAAGAGTGAGAGACTAACTGAGAGGCCTACGTCAAGTCCTTCCTCTCAGGACTCAGGGAACTATGCAGAAGAGAGGCAGAAAGGTTGGGGAAATCAGAGGAGACAGAGAGTGCCAAGAAAACAGCGCCTTTCCCACACAGTAGGACTGACACACACATCCACTCATGGAGACTGCAGCAGTATGCACTGAACCTGCTCAGGTCCAAGCCAGCGGGAGTTGCAGCACTGAGAAGAGGAAGTGAACATGAGCCTCCATTCCTAACCCAAATTCTTACAAAGAAAAAGTCAGTTTTCTCCACTGGAATTTCACTGAGTATGCAGACAATACTTAAGGCAGGCCCCATGCTCAGCAGTTCATGGCCTGCACAAAATGAACTCAGTGATGCGTTGGGAGATCTTTTGTCTCACAATGCTTACTTTGAGCATTTTTTCACCTTTTTTTTACTTGTGTATTATGATTCTAATTTTGTTTTTCTAAGGTGTGTGTGTGTGTGTGTGTGTGTGTGTGTGTGTGTGTGTGTGTGTGTATTCTACCATTTGTTAAACCCAGGTCAGAAACTCAACCACAGTTTTAAAAATCAGACATTCTCCCACATTACAATCAGAGGTCCATCGATTTGGTACTTCCATGTTGAGGAGTGACAAATGATAAAATATTAAACGATAAATAATTAAACAATTATGTTCTATATGTAATAGCAGAAAATATCAGGACTGTAGATCCCCAGCATCCATTAAAAGGATGTAGCAGCATCTATCTGGTGACCTGGCAATGGGTAAGGTATGGGGGTACAAAGGGAAGCAGATCTCCATGGCTTGCTAGATGGTAAGTTGAGTTCAGTGAGAGGCTATCTCAGAAGGTAAAGGGTAGCGTGATAGCATAAAATACTAAAAATCTTCAAACTCTGGTCTTCACCTGTGGGCATAACCTCTACCAGCAAATATAACCTCATGTGCCAACATATACACATGATCACATGCATAAAACACACTCAAATGATAATTTTAAAATAAAATAAATAATCCAGTATTAGAATTAGTTTTAATATTTATATTTAATATGTAGTATAAATTCATAATATGAAGATATAAAATGAATTTGTGTAAAAATATTCAAAAGACAAGTTGGAGTTTTATTTTCCCTATGACATGACAAAATTCTTAAAATCTGTTGCTGATGAAAAAGTTACTAATGTCATTAAATGGTTTTCCCATGTAGCAAGTTAGAGTTGGAATTCATTTTTTCCACATATTTTCACTCAAATCATATGTCTCTACCTTTATACCATGTTGCTATGATAAGATGTTCAAAATATTGCAAGCTGGCTGAGTGGGTGGATGAGTTATTATAGCTTCACAAACTGGACTCCTCTGTAACAACAGAATAATTGAACAGTCAAATAATTTGACATAGGCCTGATAGATTGCAAATAGTCTCCAGGAGCAAAGGCACATGAGCAGGTCTCCCTGCGAGCATATCTGTATTGACTTCATTAGCTTTCAGAACTAGATCTGTCTTACACCGTTTGTGCTCTCTGACATCTACACACTGCAACTGTGCCGGTTGCAGCCCATTCTGTAGACACATTCCCACACCATCACTGTGGCAGGGAGCGTGTGAACTCTCGCAATCAAATGCGCTTCATATCATCACTTCCCAGGATTTGTAGACTACACCGTGTCATCTCCCAGCTAGGCCACGAAGGGAGGATGACTGTAATGTCCCAGAGCCACACATACAATCAAGACAGTATTGCCTTCTCTTCCTGGAAGACAAACACTGGTATTCCTAAGCATCTTGCTGCTCAGGTACAGTCATGTTATAAATTTAGACAGAACAGATTCACCACACATTAGTTAACCCGTAGTCACAGGTGGCTATGAACTTGTGTTTGGTTTTGTTTGTTTGCTGGTGATGAAACCTAGGACTTTGAGCATGCTAGGGAGGTTCTCTATTGTGGAATTATTTTCTTACTGAGTCATCAACCACCAACTTTTGGGGTGTGTGTTTATGTGTGTGTGTGTCTCTGCGTGTCATGTCTGTATGTATATGTGTGTCTTTGTGTTTGTGAGCATACATGCATGTATGAGCCAGAGGTCAATGTTAAGTATTTTCTTCAATTGCTCTCTACCCTATTTTTGGAGGCAGAATCTCTTACAGCGCTGGGACTCATTAAGAGATCTGGGTTGCTGACAGGAGAGCCTCAAGGATTCTCCTGTCAGCATCTCCTTGATGTTAGCATTACAGGTGTGAGCCACAACCACAGCTTTTTACATAGATGGTGGGTCCTCATGCTAACAAAGCGGGCACATTACCAACGGAGCTATTCTCCCAATCTCTCCACTACCAACTGTTTAATCAACACTGTTCAGTCTCTGGGGAGAATGCCAAAGCTGGCCATGCTGGCTCCATTTCCAGTTATGATGGCTGGGTATTGGAAAAAGTTTTCAACTAATGTTAATCTAGGTTCGGGTGAGCTTTATTGACTACAATATCACGACTCTGTGGTTCTAAATTTTATTTTTGTGTTTGCTATTCACATAAACCTTCTGAGTAAGCTCATCATAATGACCTCAACGTTTAAATGTTCACATTATTTTATAGCAAAACTTCTAAATCTGCGACATGATAAGTTTAACATATTTTCATGTATATTCATGCCTATATTTATTTGTTCACTTTTTTAATTATTAAGGAAAATTAAGTTGCCTTCTAAGTTTTTCTTTCAGTCCTGGCCATCAGACAAAGGGAAAGCAAAGATAAGCTTTATTTGCACACCACTACCACTCCTTGGGTTGCTCTTCTGACCCTCTGTGACATTCTGTGACCTGCTGCCTAGCTTCCCTCAACATTCTTGACATAGTAAACTATTGGCCAGGCTCCTGTTTAGGGAAGTGATTTCATGACATGAGAGGCTTTTGTCAAGTTTTAAGCCTATTGTTTACTAATTGCATGTTCTTTGTCAAATAGCCCTTTTGAAACTTGAGCATTTATGTAACCATAATACAATAAACCTTCTGAGTCACATGAGCTGAAAACTAGACCTGATCAGTCCACTGTTGCTATGTCCACTGTGTGCAAAATGCTGCCTTGTTGTCTAGATAGTAGACTTCATTTGTGTCTCCTAGGTCTTCTCTTCCCCTCCTGCAGTCACCAACATAAGAATGTGAATAAAATACGCATGGAATTATATAGACATAGAATACATATTAAATTAGTGAAAAGAAATGATACGTTGTTTGTTTAGAGTTTAAAAAGCGAGCTTAGGGTCATCATCATTTCTCAATGCAACCCCATGTTGACCACAGTTCATCCCCGAAATATATCAGATGCATTGTGACTCATTGGAAATGGAATTTACCAGTGGTCATTTTCAATATTGAGACAGTTTTTGTTCACTACTCTTATCTTCAACTAAAACTCTACTGTGAAAGCACAAAGAACAAATGTTGGTACATTAGTCAGATATACCATATTGGAAATATCCCATATTAGAAATACCCCATGTTAGAAATTACTGTTGGTACATGGAGAGTTAGAATCTTTCTGGTAATAACAATTGTGCATGAGTGAAATCAGCATTTGGATGGAGAAGGAATATCCCATATTGGAAAGTAATCATAGCTTTTATGTTCATGTGTTCGTATGCTTTGACAGCTTTTTGGAGACCACAGCCTACTACTTCATGAAACCAAAAATTGGAGAGAAGGAGGTGTCCCCAAATGTTTTCTTCAGTGTCTGGCATGAATTCAGCTCTGACTTTAAAGACTCTTGGAAAAAGGAGAACAAACTGATTCTGCAAGAGAGGTAGGTATTTTCATTTTCACAATGGCATTTAAAACTGGTATTTTATTAAGTGTGACTCCACTGGGGGTTGCCAATTTTTATAGCATGAATGAAATCTTTGATGGCCCTCACCCTGGGATAGCAAGTTGAAGAGGTGCTGATACTTGGCAGGACTTGGAGTTTGACTAAGAGGAGTGTGGGCGAGGCTGTGATGCTGCAGAGAATAGCGGAGGGTCGGGGCAGTGCCATTGTCTATTAAAATAAGTTCTATTGTGAAGAAACCACAAAAAGAAAAGCCATATGAAAGACTGAATAACCCTATAGGGAGAAACCTTCTCCTCTCTAAAGACTGTTAGCAAAGGCTGGTAAGGTCAGAGGAATAGTTTCTGCTTGCTTTTGCTCCACTCATGGTATATTGTCAGTTTCATCAATTCATCCCCAAATTTTACCCAGATGTCTCCCCAAACCATAGATGATCATGCTTTTTGAAAAGATCCCTCAAGATTCTTGTGGAATTACAACACATTTCCTAAAATAAATCTGTTCAAGAATGAAGAGAAATTTTTCCCTCTTGAGTATATGGGAAATAACATCTCAGGGATTATGAAATTCCACAAAGGCATATTAAATATTAACTCATGAAGAAAGCTAGCCCTCCCAGGGCAGCCTCCCCAAATAGCTTGGTCTAGTGGGAACATGAAAGAGAAACATAATCTACCCAGAAAGCAAATCCTAACACAGAACCAATTAGTCCACTTCCTCACATCCCTGCTCTACCAATGGCTTTGCTGTAGTTCTTTAGAGGGCTTACATCCTGAGGGACCTGGTTCATCTCTGCTACAATACTCCACAGTTTTCTGCTTAGTGTCTTCAGGCTGGTCTGTTTGCACATGCACCTAGTTTTCATCTATGAGTAGGCTTCCCCCATCTCCTTAAGTAAACAGAGTTAATTGCTAGCATTTATTGTGCATATACATGATGCAAACATGGGCTCACAACCCCAATTAAAGCTGTACATCTCCTCTTGTAGCTCACTGTCCTCTCAAATCTAGCCTAATCAGTCAGTTCCAGGCTCAATGAGAGACTCTATGTCAAAAAAAAATAGGATGGAGAAACAATTGTGGAAGTCACCCGAAGTCAACCTCCAGCCCCCACATAGGTTCATGTGTACCTGTACACACATATCTACACACAAACACACACACGTATATCATACACCAAAGACAGTTGTACTCCAATCAGTGTTCTGCCATGCGTTCATTTGCATTCTCCCTTCGTGCATGTATTAAATGGTATTTTTATTTTCTACCCACCAGAATGCTTGCTCAGTTTACATGGCTATAAAGGAGAGACGTTTGTCAACCCCAGCACATTAATGTATGTCCCTTCTTGAATCTCTCAATTTAATTTTTTCGCATAGAAAAGCATCTGAAACCCACTCACTTTGTTGCTGGAAGTGGTAAGCATAGCATTTCAGATAGAACAGTTATTGGTAGCCTTTATTAAACTTGGGACTTAGATGAAGACAGAATTGGTCTGATTTGGGCATCAACAAGACAGGAATAAGTACAAGAGCAGCTGTCCTAAAATATATCAAGTGAGTAAGCGTGTCACAGATGCTGTGGGCAAGGTGAACTCAATTATCATTTTTTCCTCTGTCACAAGACAGAATATAAATGCTGGTAAGAAGATGCTGTCTGGTGGAAAATGTCAAAGCTCACAGATTCAGAAACACTATTCCCTAAAATCACTTCTAATCTCTGTTCAACACACCTGAGAAGTTCCGTTTCTAGGTGACATTAACAACCCCAGTCTTACCATATTGAGACAAGATCAGCTTTGCTTTTTAACTCCTTTAACCAACCAGACTTTGTTCTGATGTCCTAGACTCATTCCTAAGGGCCTTTGTACACACAGATGATGACTGTATATCATTGCTGCTGTATTGTAAATAGGTTGAATCTGAGTGCTCCTAAGTATCTACTTGCACTTCTACTACATTTGCTTGTGATAAAGGGCTACAGCAGAACACGCATCCAGCCAGGAGGGACTGACCTTGGTCTGCCTCTCAGTAAGTGTTGACCAGGTTGCCACGAAGGGCAGGGCCATTGATCAGAAGAGTGTTTTCACAGGGTTGCCCCTTTGCTCAAACCCATATACACTACATAAGTAAAACAAAAATGAGATGTCCCTGTTTGAAAATGAACAATTTCAAAATAACTAAGTATTAAGGCAGACCAGAGTCATTCTAAGAGCTGTGTGCCAGACAAACGACTGTCTAAGTTCTCTACCTGCCTGACATCACCTTAATGTCATTTCTATAGTAATAGAAACTCTGTGCCTGGGACTTGACAGGCAATGGGGAAAGGATGAGTTCAAAGTTTGAAACTCTGACTCACTCACATCATACGAGTAGAAACTCCAAAAAAATTTAGACAGTAATTTAAGCTGTTCCCCTGATAGTTTATTCATTCTTCTGTGCTCCTGAATTATTTGCTATCACCAGCATATTTTATTTAAAACCAATTCTTTATTATATAACAGCTTATTTCCAGTGTTTTATTCCATGCTATAAATTGTCTTGCTTCCATCATAGTATTTATTTCACAGTGAGAAGGCTATTGTCCGTATTTCTGGGAGAGCATTTACCTGTGACTTACCCACGATGTTTTCCCTTGGTGCATCTGTATATCTTTACTGACTGTACCTGTTACATCACTGCCAGGGATATGGGCATGAGAGTACAAATATAGCTCACTAGAGTAATGAATATGTGTTTTTCCAACATAATTATAAGTTGATCACTGTGGGGCACAAAACCCTTCTCCAAATACCTTGAGCAAATGAGAGCTCTTGTTCAGACAGTTGGGCCACAAAAGGGTGCAGGAGGAACTTACCTGTGAAATGCCCAGATGCAGAACTCTCCTGGCACTCAGTGGGTTGGGCATGCATCTCTGGACCACTCTTTCTCTGCTTTTATTTTTCTTTCAAAACAACAACAATAGCAAAAGCTATTTCATCATGTGAATAGATATTTTGCCTGCATGTCTGTGAACCAGGTGGCTACACTGCCCACAGAAGCAAGAACCCAGAAGAGGGCACTGAATTCTCTATAACCAGACTTACAGATGGTTATTAGCTGCCATGTGGATGCTGGGATTCACACCTGATTCCTGTGGAAAGGCATTCCCCTTTGTTTCTTTTTAAATGTCTTCTCTCTGTCTTTCTCTTTTTTCCTCCTTCTCTCACTTCCTGTCATCCTCTTTCTGTCTTCCCCTCTCCCCTCCTCCTTTTCACTCCCTTTCCATGATCACAGTCTACTCCCGCTATCTTCTGTGGGATCCTTTAATTTTCAAGCCAAGCTTTTTCTTTAGCAGTTGGGATTCATGTCCTGTGGCCTTCATGAGTAGCCATGACTAACATTTTTATAACTCAGACATAGGAAGCACTATCCAGCACCCTCTAGAAGAATTCCAGGGCAAACTCCAAAGGAACACTGGCCAGCTTTGACTGTACTACTTTGGTCAGACAGGAGCTATCACAAACAGCTCAGCTGCACTTCAACTCAGGTCCCTTCATAACAGTTTCTTTTGGAGGAGGGGAGGGAGAAACAAGGGGAAAACAGTTTCAAGAAAGAAAGAAAAAGAAAGAAAGAAAGAAAGAAAGAAAGGAAGGAAGGAAGAAAGGAAGGAAGGAAGGAAGGAAGGAAGAGAAAAAGTAAACTGCTACCTCAGTTTACTGAACCTGTAAAAGGTATCCATCTAATTGCTAAAATGATTTCGCATGTGCTTTGTGAAGGGAAGATGTGAACAAATGTCTCTTTTCCCCAGCTAGGGCACCAATGGCAGACCAAAAAAAAAAAAAAAAAAGGTTTCGTTCAAGTCTAGCTCAGCAAAGCAGTGAGTTGGGGGATTTATTGTAGTATGACGTGATACTTACTGGAGCACAGCTAGCATAAAGACAGCTGTATTCTCAAGAGGCCCATCCTAAATCGGCAGTGACTCACAAAAGCTGCATCCCTGAAGCTTCCTCTTGCCCAGCTCACCAGCAGCTCAGATGATTGGAGAGTCATGTATCCCCAGCAAGTGTTATGCTATATAAATTATATATAACTTTACACACACACACACACACATATGTGTGTGTATGTGTATGTACATATAAAACTATAAGGAGTTGCCTTGTGATTCCTCTAACTTCCTGAGCCTAGTAGGTTTCAGTTACTCCCTGAGTTTTAAGAGACTGCCTTCAAGAAGGAAATGTTTTGGTTTAGTGTTTATAAATAACCTGAACAATGATATTAGTTATACCATTGAACTTGTTATCCAGATAAAATTTCCATCATCTCATTTGCTATTTATAAATAAATGATTCTTTAAGGTTTTAAGTCATGTATGAATGCTCCTCACCATTTTAGTTCTGACTGATATCTCATTATAGAGTAGAAGAACTCTGCTTTTCTGGAATTGTCTAGATAATTGGTGAGATTTCACTGATATGTTTCCTGATATAGTGAGTTCCCCCTCATTCATGTGGAGTAGATTGGCCTCTTTCTAGTGGGTGGGGTTTTAGTTACCTGCCAGTTATTAGCTCTGGGATTGTCTTGAAGGTCATTTATCCATCAAGAATTACACTTTCCTCACCTGTAAAATGGAGCTGATTACACCTCTCTTGCAGCATCAATGAGTAGACAGAGTGAAGTGATGTGTATATATTCCAGAATCTAAATGTTTAGAGGTTCATATACTGTTTCTCAGTCATTGAGTATAAGTGGTATCCACACTGTATCTTCGATAAGTTGATTTAGTGTATTAATAAGGGATGGCATCATTCTAAGAAAAGAGGGTATAAATGCAGGATATTACTATGACACAGCTGCCTTGTTACTTAGGTCAAATATGTCTGTTCTGCATGTGAGGATGAACTTTTGTTTATAGTTATTGTACTTAGCGTTATGCTTCTATATGAATGTTGTCTGATATGATAGTCTTCTGTATGGACCGCTAACCCACTGGCTTTGT